AATATACAATAGTGTACAATAGTGTACAATGATCTCTTTAAATATCAATGTTAATAGCATGTAACAACATTCTTGTAGTGACACATATTTCTTCACCTTCAAGGTTCGTATGAAGTAACCTCGAGGTAGTCTCGAAATAATACAAACAGATCAATGGTGAATCAGAAATGAAAATGCCTTGTCGTATTCAGGATATTCCTGAAAGAATTTTGCATTAATACTTATAATATTTAGCCAGTATGAAAAAATAAGTTATAGTCTTACATAATACAAGATAAGATTAGTATATCAGAGAGTGAAAATAACTTTGACCTATATTATACTGTCGTCATGAATTATTCTGTCGTCATATAGTTTCCCCGCTATCTGTTTCAATGTGTATAGCAACAACAGAAAGGTAAAAGAGATTACATATTTACAAATGATAAACACTGCATATTGTAATTTATATTTGAAAAATTAATTTTAACACAAGGTTCCTATTGGAACCTTAACAAAAGCTTAGTAACTCCTGAAGAAATATAGTGACATTTTATGTTCTCATAATATGGGCGTTAGTTTGATATTATAGGAAATAGACCAATAATAAATCAAATAATATATTAATTGATTCAGAGTAAAAATTGAAATACTCATAATCAGGAAATCTGAAATGATAGTGCCATTAGAAATATTTTATTAAGTCATTCCATTTTTCCTAAAGTATAAACAGACATCTTTTGAAATTATAATCAAAGTTTTCTTCTACCAATTCAATCTAAATTTTATAGAATTTTTTATTATATATATATTAAAGATAAACTATTTAAAAATTTACTAATTACCACTACACTTACACATTATATAATTAACCTACATCTCATATTAATAATGCCGGTACTAATATGCTAAATAATACTTCAAGAGGAAGTATACTATACAACTATAATATATTAATTCTAGAATATATCTCAGAATATTACAATTCTTACAACTTTGTTATATAAAACATGAATAAATAATAAAAAGTTGGATATGGACCACATAATTAGTTATGAAGACCTTTTTAAGTAACCTAAAGAACAATCAGTCTTTAAATGAATCTTGAATAAAAACCATAATTCATACATTTGTTTCTTTCAGAATTTCAATTAATCAAAAATGCATCTAATCGACTCAACCAAACCAGCTAATATTACGATTGTTATAAAACAATAGTACTATGAAATCGACTGTTTCACAGACTATAATCAATCTATCAATCTATTTCATATATGGCATTGATTTCAAATATTTCAAAACTATAACAAACCTTCATCTTGTGCATAAAATATAGAGAATGCCATTTCTACAAAAAATATATGAAGATTAAAAACTATTTGAAAAATATTCTACTTATTCTATTATAAGTCATGATATGTTTCGACCTACATATTGGTTGGTATATAAGACTTAAGTGAACAAAATTTACAAATTAAAATGGATTGATAATATATAAAACACAGCGATTGGAATAAGCAACTGATTTGATGCTAATGCAGTTAGATTTAATAATAACATTAGCATAATCTTGAAAAATAAAACATATTTCACAGTAATGAAAAAAAATATATATAGAACACTTCAAAAATAATGGAAACAGATAAAAAATGCCAAAAAGTAAAAAAAATTTGTAATCTTGTTGGAATATAATCTATAATGTACAGTTGATAATGTGGAAAAATGTCATTTTTCCTCAAAAATCATATAATAAAACTGAAATTTCTTTTAAAATATATTGAGAATAAGAGAATAATATTGACAAACATGATCAGAGTTGAATGTTAGTTACTAAAAAAATGGTATGAAATGAAAAAAATGTTGAATGCATAATATTGGTTTAACTATGAGGATAGTTTGTCAAAATTGAGATCGTCCAATGATAACGGCTGTTCATTATCAACAGTTGATGTGTAGAAACAATGTCTATTCAATAAAAAATTCTGATAATCACTATCATCTGTGTTAGTCTTGCCCAAATCTAAAATGTTGTTTGAATCATTTAATTGATCCAATTGAAATTGATTTAAAGTGCTCTCCGACAAAGAACCTGATACTAATGCTGTTGATTCGGATGCAGGATCATTTAAATACATATTGTTATTGTTGTGATTACTATTATTATTATTAATTGATATGATATTTGGATGGATTAAGGTGTCAGTGGAGGCAGCAATTTCATCATTTACATGGAACCCTAATGTAGATAGATTACCAGAATTGGAAACATTATTATTTACAGAACCTACAGTACCTTGTAAAAATGAATTTGTATTTGAAACAAAATCGTTGTTGTTAGTATAAGTGGCAGTAGTAATACTGTTTGTATCATTAAAATCATAATCATTTGCAATATAGTCATGATTGTTTCCGACATGTTCCGTTGTTTGTGAAGTCGAAGTGACGTCCGTTACGACACTTCTGTTGTCATCAAATAAATCATTTCTTGTATAACTGTCATTGAAATAAATGTTATCTGAAGTTTGTGGATATTGTAAGTTTGAGTTAAGAGATGAAATAGATGATGACGATGATGGTATAGAGTTGAAATGGTTGTGTAATTGTTTCAGTAAGCCAGCTTCTGAAGTGTAATGTTGTTCTGTTTGGTAATTGTTATCAATTGAAGAAGATTCTGAAGAAATAAAATCAGATAACGATGATGGAATAGATTGGGAGGATACTGAGCTCTGAATATGAGCATTCTTCGAATTTTCAGATTTTGGTGAAGTTGCCAATGACATGATATTAGAAACAGGAGCTTCAGTAAGAGGAGGTGGAGATGTTGAAGAACTGGAGGAAGATGAGGATGAGAAGGATGAGAAGTTGAAGGATGAATAACCTTTATTTGTACTTGAAGGAGCAATCAAAACATGGTTTGACTTGGCAGGTTTGATTGGAGTTGTATCATTATGATACAAATGCTTTAAAGGTGACGTGTTATAATAATCGGTATGTTCACTAAATTTTCTTGAAGTACTTGCCAGTTGTTTATTGCTATGAGTTAATGTTGTAGTAGTTAAAAAATCAGACAAGAAACTATCAGTGCTTGAAATTTTTTGTGAATTCTTCTCTATGTCTTGTTTAATTGGAGCAGTTGATTGTTGCTTAATAATTTTTGCGTCCTGAGTAATTATTGCTTCAGTTCTCACCAACAATGAAATTTGATAATTCTCATAATTGTTGTTGTCATAGTAGGTTTCGTTATTGACATCATAGCGGCAGCATAAATTTACATTTAAGTTACAATTTGTGATTGGGGAATTTGAATTGAAATCATTATAGATCAAACCTTTAAATTGTAAAGTATATTTCAAAGAATTCAAATCTATTACGAACTTGAATTCATCTATATTTGAGTTTATTGATTTGTTAAAAGATGCAGTAACATAGTGGATATCTTGCCAGTTATTAAAACTGAATTTAATTTCTATAAATTTTTCAAAATTCAAATTGTTAACATATATTAGGCCGTAAATCTTGTCTGTCTCATTTGGTAATTGTTTCAAAGAATGCAATCTTATATTTTGGTTATTCAAATAGGTGTAAATAGTATCTTGGTTGTAAGTGTATGGGGATACGTTAGTATTTGCCAAATTCCAATCCTTAATAATGAATGATGAGTTGTCTATAAATGTATTTTCATTATTGTTGTTGTTATTGTTATTCTTGCTGAGAAGACTTGAATCGTTCAAAACGTTCAAGTTGTCATGCTTTAGCAGTAAGGCATCGGGATGAGACGAGTTAGTGATTATGTTGTTGTTTAGGAATTGATAATCCTCCAAACTTGTGTCTGAATCGTAATCCAGGTTAAAATTTTTAAAAGTGTAGCTGCTGGTGTCAGCCAGTTTGCTGAACCATAATCCGTCAGCGTCGTCACCATCGCCGTCCTCATCATTATTAATTATTGAGGATCCTCTTGAAGAGTTGAAGTTGAATTTAGAAAAGTTGTCCAATGGGTATAAGGTAGGTGAATTTTCATTTGAGATTGAGATTGGCTCTGAGTTACAATCGAAACGTTTAACTTTTGTCAATTGCGGGGCGAATCTTACATTTTTTGGGATCATACTTGAAGCTGAATTAGAAGAAGTCAACAAATCCACACAACCAGACGAAATTTTCAGCGAGGATTTAAGTTTCCTGAATCCTGAGCCGGTGGCAGTCTGTGATTGAAGTCCAGTGCCGTCGTTGATGTTATTATCGATATTTTCTTGTTGTTTCTGCTGAAGCAGCTGCGGCTGTTGCTGAAACACTTGCATTACTTTGATTTAATATGATATGATACGATACGATATGATATGATATGATATAGTATAGTATAATATAATATAATATGCTAATTAGTAGTTTATAATTTTGATTAAAAATAAAAAACCACAGTTGGATACAGCTTTGATATAAGTGGATGACAAAATAACAGACACACACACAAACAAAGAAACAAACCAAACAAAAAACAAAATTAGATTAGAATATATTTGGGGAGGGGAGGAAGAGAAGACAGAGTTATAGTTCGATGCCAAAAGGAAGGAAGAAAGATGGAATAATCTGAGAATTACAGAGTCCAAAATGTGATGAGCAGAGCTGCGTTTGTATGCTGGGTATTTGTGTAACCGCGAAGAAAGGAATGATCGATGGGGGGAGGTGAAAGGGTTAGGAAGAGGAACAAAATAAAGTACTACAAAGTAAGGGCTATATGACAAAAAAAATAAAATTTTAAAAAAAAAATAAAATAAAGTAACTTTATTATATATAGAAGTGAAATGGGAAGTAATGTAACTGTGGTGGGGGTGTGACGGTACTATTTGGATATGATAGAAAGAAGAAAGGACAAATAAGAGAGAACAGAAGACGAAAAACGAAAAAATAGGAAGAACAAAAATGTTTTGGAAACAAGAAGAGAGAGACAGTTTAGAAACCGAGAAATAAATACCAGTTGGAATAAATTGATAAACGTATGGGATATATATATGTATATTTATATTTTAATGTGTATATATATAAATGTATATTTAATTAATTATAAATTGTGTGTATGGTATGGTATGGATAGGAGAGAGAGACAGAGAGAGAGAGAGATATGAATAAAGTTTTTGCATAGAGAAACGAGTTGATTAGAAAGATAAAATGGGCTGGGAAACGTCAAAAAATAAAAATAAAAAAAAAGTTTAATAAAACGGCGGATTATTCCCTCTGGGGAAGGAAAGGAAGGGAAGAAAGAGAACTTTTGTTGAGATGAAATGGAATGGAATGGAATGTAACTAATTTTTATTATTTGGGCAGAACGAGAGCAGAGAGAGACACGGACACGGACACAGACAGGTTGCTCAATGCTAAAATTAACCTTTTTATTTTTTATTTATTTTTTCTTTCCTTCCATTGAAATGACGAGATAGCGTAGTTGAGATGGGATGGGATGGGATGAGATCGAGAGAACACGGCAGGAAGCAGAAGCGAACCAGGGGAAGACAGAAGGAGAAGGAATAGGAAAACGCAGCGAGTGGGAGAGGGAGAGGGAGAGGGAGAGGGAGAGACAAAAAATAAAACAAACAAACAAACAAACAAATAGATAGATAACCAAAAGGTAAAGACAACGCACCGCAACGGAGAAGGAGAAAGAGAATTTCTCATTTTTTTCATTTTTTATTCTCTCTCTCTCTTGCTACTTGTTCTTCTTCTCCTGCTGCTAATGAGACACTATCATCAATGAGAAGAATCACTTGGAAAATACCTAATCATATCATATCATATCATATCAAACCGAACCAAATCACGAAGACAGCCACGGGGTGCTGCTGGTCAAGAAACCACACCAGGCCGATACCGTTTATTAATTGTTTAGTAACAGAACCCAAAACAAGACTAATGCGTCTGTGTTGCTCTCTCTCTCTGCTGTCTCTTTTCTGGCAAGGATGAACCAATACGCTTCTCTCTCTCAGTTTAGCGAAAAAATGAACGCAATCATCAAGAGAGAATGAGGGGGTGGTCGTGGTTGGGGGCCACAAGACACACACGCTAAGAAACAAAAGCACAAAAAACCTATGATGATTGTGATTCTGACTTTGAGATTGGGATTGGGATTGGGATTGGGATTGAAATTGGTTTATTATAACTCATTTCACTTCAGATAACTCTTTTGTTGGAAAATTTCTGTGCAAATTTGGAAATGCATAACGGTTGGGTTGGATTGGATTGGGTTACGTTGGATAGAGACCAAAAGGTAAGAAGAGTTAGTTTGTTTGTTTGTTTGTTTGTATGGCTGTAACGGTGCCGTATCACCCACCTCTTATCTCAGAACTGGAAGTGGTAATGCGGCCCAGCAATGAATGCGCTGCAAGATATTGTCGCGCACTCGGACCCACCAAGTGCGATGACTCTGGAGAAAAATAAATAAATAAATGAAAACTTCTATATATCAAAATGGAAAATGGAAAATGGAAAATGGGAAATACCCCAGCCCTGCGATAAACCACAACAGAATCAAAAAAATCAAAAATTGAAATTTTGGAAAATTGAAAAAAAAATGTTTGTTTGTCTTTTTTCTTATTCTTGGATTAATAAGTGGGTTATAATCCACGGGGTGCGGTTTGATCTCTCGGAAAGTTAAATGGTTTATCGCTCGCGAACTAGTTCGGGGACACACACACGCACAGCGCTATTTGCGTCTCCACGCAAGGCTGTTCTGTTCTTACTGTGCTTGTCTTTTTGCTTATCTTATTTTATTTTATTTTTTCTTCCTCTCCTTCACTCGGGCCATCCTGAGTCTTGCATATCCACTGTCCGCTCGCCATGTGGTGTAGAGGTGCGCTATTAGCCACCAGCCCATCTCCTCCCCCCTCCTCCCCTTTTCGTCATGCGATTCTCAGGGACAACAAGAACAAATTATACACACAACACAGAAATGAAGTGTAAGTTCGGGTTTCGATTGAAAAAACTTTTCTTCACACAAATACAAGCAAGATTGAAATAATTACAATGAAACTGAAACTGAAACTGACACTGGATAGTTAGCACATTGAATTGGATGTTTCAGGGGCACAGAAACGTACGTAAAACACACTTCCTCTTCTATCTTTTTTTCTCTCTGTGCGTTTCTCTCTCTCTTTATCATCTCAACTAGCTAAATTTCAGAAGGGATAAAAAAAATAAAATGCGTATATAATTACTTTTGTCTATATTTGTATCTACTTCTTAAAAATAAAAAAATTGTCAACTACCCTATTCATACATCGGTACACCTCACAATGGATCATCTCGTTCTCCCATCTTTTTCTTCCCAGACTATGTTCAATACCAATACCAAAACTAAAAATAAAAATAAAAATAAAAATAATAAAATCAACCATGACGATCACCAGATTCAAAACACTTCTCGCTCTCCTCCTCCCCCATTGTCTACGTCAGAAACCCATAATCGTCATTAACCGTCCAAAAATCTTCGCCTTGAGCCAATGTGTACGAATCCCACGATGCTCCTCCTGTTGAAAACCGCGCATTATTGTTGTTACTGTTGCTACCACCACCAATACCTAAACCGTTAGGTGTAGCATTACTACTGTTGGTAATACCAGATGGATGATGATAACTATGATACACACCGCCATTATCAACAGACGATGATGAAATAGCAGCCGTCTGACTTTGACTCGTTGCTAGCCCTAATGCTGTGGATGCATGGTTTTGTTGCTGATATTGGAAAGGTGTGTGTGTTGACTGATGGTGATGATTGTGTCCTGTCGGTTCAGCTGATCTATCTTCTTGTTGTAAATGCATCGCTGCCGCCGCATCTTGTGGTATGTAACCTTCGGACTGGCTACCAATAGATGGGTTATTGGCTCCACCACCAATGTTCGTCGATGACGAATCAGTTTCTCCAATCGGATAGTTTATTTTACTGTTCAGCAAGTTATTGACTGAGTCGGTGGTCCACGTAGATATATTGTTGATCATATCATGTGTACCACTGCTCAATAAAATGTCACTAGAGTTATTAATATTTGGCTCAACAACGCCATTCATGCCGGTATTGCTGTTGCCAACAAGTCCAATGCTAACTCCAAAATTGCTGCTACCGCTATTGCTTATGATACTGTTGCGAGAACCAAGTCCAGTACTGCCGTTTACAATCATGTTAGTGCTATTAACCAAATTCCCTCCTGCAACTGGTAATGTCGTCATATTGCCAGTTGTGGCTGGATCAGATACAAACCCTGCCCCTCCTCCATCAACAGGTGGTAACGATCCGTTAGCGGTTAGATTTCTGATTGCTGGCGGAGAATAACAATTCGAAATAGAGACATTTGATGAAATTCGTCTTATCGCTTCACTACTACTCATACCAGGCGCGAACACACCACCATTTCCAGTATTGGTATTATTATTACTTTGGCCATTACTGTTGTTGTTGTTGTTGTTGTTGTTGTTGCTGTTGTTACCTAGTGTAGATAAATAAAGTTGCAAATTTTGTTGCGCAAACCTTTGTTGTAAAAAAGCTTGTTGTTCAAATTTAGATTGCCAATCAAATTCAGTACTGGTAACCGGTTTTTTAACTATGTATTGTTGTGTCTCTTCAGCAATATTACTACTACTGGTTTCACTAGATGCGCTAATTGTGGAAGTTATAGGAGTTGCGCCGGTAGTGCCACCGCTAACTGTTGAATCTTCTCCCATATCTAATAAATGTGATAGACTTGCCGGAATTGAACTCTTACCCAATACCATCCGTCTTTTTTTCAATTCTCTTTGCTCCTCTGCATCATCTTGAATTAGAGCTCCTTCAACAAATCCAACATGTTCTTCACTTTGCCTACTACCAAATCTCCTATTAATTGCAGGAGGCATACCATTACGCTTCTTGCCTTTATCGTGTTTTTCTTCCTTTGGCGGTAATGATAAATCTCTCAAATTGGCATCAGAAGAAGCAACATTACTGTTATCTGTGCTGTTGCTTATTGCTTTATGATTACTATCGGCATTGGATGGATTCATGATATCAATATTGCTGTTCTTCTTGATGTTGTTGCTATTATTATCGTTATTATTGACTATACCGTTATTGTTTTCCGCATTTTTTCCATCAGTTTCGCTCTTCTTGCTAGCAATAATATTATTATTAACGGAGTTACTGTTTTCAATTCTTTTGATTTGGCCATTCTCGTCATTACTCAAGATTACATCGACATCTCCGGAAGAGATATAAATTAATTCACTCGAATCAGGACCACATCTTTCAATTAAATTACCTATAGTAGCATTCATCAGCTGATCAAATGTATCCCTAAAAGTTCTTGCAAAATTGGAACGCTCAGTCATCACATATAGAGATACAGAACAAGCTCTAAGATCATCTAATGTAGAAAATAAACTTGCACTTACCAACGGTCTTGTATGCTTAGATTCATCTCCTAATTTACGTCTTCTCTCATCATCGTGGTTTCTTGCAAGCCACATACAATACACTAAGGTGACACCAGCAACAAAAACAGTATGAACTGCGGGTGTTGAATGACCATTGACTGTCTTTTGATGAAATATCTTATATAACTGGCATATCTGACCCGCAGCGGCTTGACATTCTCTAAATAACTTATCCTCAGGTGTCAGCATCTCTAAATATGGTTGGATTAATAACCTTACCGATCTATAATAATACAATTTCAAAGTTTCATTCTCGAAGTTACGAACATAAACTTTGGAACATGTAGATCTCCACAATTCAAGGTCATAAAAGTATTTCTTTACTAAGGGCAGCTGTTTTTGTAAAAATTCATTACTGTTATTCCTCTGAGGAATTATTTTCAAATCTTCAACAAATTGCGATTCCAATCTTCTTAACTTTAATGACTGATTGATAAAATGAACACCATGGGTTTTCCCAACTTTATCATTGACATTGCTTGTATTGAATGAGTCAATACTAAACAATGGTAAGTCAATCTCTGACTCGGATATCGTATATGGCCTACCAACCGCAACACATATCATTCTTTCAAGCAAATAGATACACCAAAATAATCGCAGCTTCTTATTTCCAAATGGATCATTCGGTTGTAGACGATTTAAATTTAAATGATTTTTTGCAATCATCATGACATCTTTAATTATTTCGTATAATACCAACGAGTCGCGATCCGTTCGAAGTATATATAATACCAACAATGTCAAAATTTCAACCTGTTGCACATAATTCAAGTTGCTACCACATAAAGTTATATGTCTTATAGCAGTAGAAAAATATCTTTCAGGTGGTAATCCACGATATTTACCGGTAGTCATGTGTAAACATGCACTAATACTAAATGCTAACCACATCCTACCACATGCAAAATGGAAATCGATCTCTGATAATGAGTATACATCGTTACGTATATACCTATCATGAAATTCGTAAATTTCATTTTCATCTAGTAATGGATATTTAAATTGTAATCTTGTGAAGAAAATATCCAAAAATGTTCTAGATAATTTTTCATCAAAATCAAATGCTGGGTCATAAGAATAGAATTCTTTTAAATTGTATTTTGAAAATATACACTTAGTAAAATCAATGGAATCAAATGGATGAGAAACGATTGAAGATATTCCATTCTTAATTATATTATTGTGTTCATTATTACTGTCATACTTGTTGATTTGATAAGGCGTACCCATATTTTGTTGATACGATCTATTCAGCGGTACAAATCTAGGTTGATTATTATCAGGCAACGGTAACAATATACTTGGACTATTAGATGATGGTGATGGTGCATTACTATAGCTAGAGGTTATTCTAGGTGATGGTATAACACCTCCCATAACAGTAGGTTGTGGTTTAATTATAGAAGGTTTCATAATTGAAGCTTGATTTTGTAATGTATTAATTGATTTTTCCAAATCACCAATTTCACCCAATAAATGTGAAATTTTTTTATATTGGGTTTTCATTCTCTTATATGAGGAATTTGTTGGCGGCAAATTTATCATTTTTTCCAAATATTTTAATTTTTTCTCTAGAAATGATGTATACTCATCACCATTGCCCTTATTGTTATTAGATTTATTTGATTTTAAATTATTACTCTTTGCCTTTTTCACACCTTGCTTGTTATTGTTGCCATTATTATTATTGGAAGTAGCAGTAGCATTCATAATGTTACAATCTGAAGGGGATGGTGAATTATTTGTCATTGGAGTTCTAGAACGCGATATGTCGTTACCGCTTGCATCTGTCATTGGACTACTTGTATCATTGCCATCTAATGGAGTTGACTCTGGAGATTTTGTATTTGATCCTAATGCATACCTTTCTGGCTGTACGCATCTAACCGCAGCTTTCAGACAAGCCGTACAACTTGGCATCTTATGGTCACATCTTTGTTTCCTTCTCCTACATAATAGACACGATCTTGATCTGCCCTTTTTATCTTGTAATAGTACATCGACTTTATCACCTGCTAATTCCAACTCTCTCTGAAATCTTTCAATATTCTCTTCAGACACTTCCTTCTTTGGACGAGCCATACTAAAGGGATCAATTATCTTGAGAAGAGCTCCCTTTTAAATATCGATTGCTTAAAACCAAAATAGTCCAACCGGATTTTTTTTTTATTATATAGGAAGTTAAAATAATTCCTCTTTTAAGGTCAAATCTATTCAAGATCAAAACGTTTAGTATATTTAAATTTTAAACATTTGAGGATATCAAGGACTATATAAACTTCGATATTAAAATAATGGAATTTATTAAAAATTTCAATAAAAGAAGAAAAAAACAAAACTTTACGAATATGAAACTACAACTACAAGTATATCATCGATTTTAACTGCGATGATTTCGTTATCATTCAGTAATCATAAAATTGGATATTTTTAAATTTTACTATCAATATGATCTATCAAGTCAAAAGAAACCACAGAGAAAAAAATGGAAAGAGCCTTCAGTAATAATAAATGTAGTGAAAAAAAAAGAAAGTAAAATAAAATACATTGAAATAAATTGAAATGGAAATTGAAAAATAACACCAAAAGATCATAATTCCACGACAACAAAATACGATGCATAGAACGGACCCAGACAATTGAAAAATATATTAGCGTATTAATTTGAAATAGACGGCAGGACCAAAATTTTTAATGGAATTAGTTACCAGAAATGTTAGGCCCCACTATTTTACCTCTAATTAGCATTATTCTAAAATATCTTTTGTAAATTGTATGCATAACAGCATGGCTTGAGTTTTAATAATATGAAAGGTTTTTGACCTTTATTGAACTGTTATCCTGTAGTGTGTTTTTTCTTTTTTGCTCAGTTTCTCCAGCCACACACACACACTCACATGCTTTTAATAGTGAATTCAATAACGATACCAGAGCAAGAAGGAAAAGAAATAAAAAATGATGAAGAAAAGGAAAAAAGCATACTAGTTTGGGTCAACGCAGAATCTTGTTCTATTATTATTTCTCAGAATATGGATCGATTACATTAATTAGACATTGGTTATTTTATCTTGAAGTATAAAATTATCCCATATTTTCACTTGTAAGGATTTCTCACTGTGAGATGGGTTCTTTTTGCCATTTAAAAATGGTTTTCCGGATTCTATCTGTACTGGCCGTATAAACTGTTCATTTGATATAAAGTGGAATTAACATATTTAAAATCAGATCACCAACCTTTCGAAGCTACTCACAAAACGCAGTTGAAGGGATCGCTGACAACTGAGAAAACGGTCTGTAGAAAGTTTAATTCCGGTAATGACATAAATAATAGCCAATCTACTACGTAAGTGAATAATTATTCTTACTCTTGTTAAATCACTACATCATGAAAAATTAATTACATGAAAATATAAAAGAAGAAGCGGGAGAAAACAAAGAGATAATCAAACGTTCGCAACTCTTCAGAAATTATACAAGAGAGAATCCAAAACTATAAAAAATTAGAAAACAAAAAAGAAAACATGGATTAGATGGTTTGTCTATAGCTTTCTCTTAGTTGCCTGTTTTGCCTTCACTTAAAATATCGTTTTTCTATCAAATCTTTTGAGCAGGTTTTTAAAAATTATTACTTTAATTTTTTACAAGATGAAACTTTATATTATGTTTTCTTAGAAAGTGTCCATTTCGAAACATCAGAAAAAGTTAAGCGAAGGATCACTACTAATATTTGTATAAACGAGTTTATGTAATCGTCCTTTGGAAAAAAACTAGTAGAAATTGATTTTTCCTAAAAGGGACTAAAGACAATTATTGCAATAAAAAAAATGAACATATATATACAATATATTTGAATATTGTTAAAAATTATAACAATTTCAAGAAAAGGAGGATGAGGATACATTATGAGATGTTATTAGGACTTGCTTAGTTCATTTTTTTCAACCCAGACAGAGGCTCTATAGCGACCAGATGGAAAACAAATTGGTTACCCCCACCTCCAACTGCTTCTTAGTGCACATATTCATCAAGCTCCAAGTTCTAATATATTTATTTATATTCAATTTTTTTTCCCTTCTGAAACCAAAAATTACATAACTAAGTAATAGTATATAGGTATCTTGAGGATATTTGGTATCAAATCATTTATCATTCTGTAATTTTATGAGGAGGTTGACTGCATACCGAATAGTAGGCCTGAAACAATATCGATATGAAATCTGTATTGTACAAAAATGGTAATGCGTAGGCGGATAACTATGAGAGCATGTGTTTTCGACACCCGTTAGTTAACTTTCTCTTTCTTCACGATTGAGTTGTCCTTTATAGGCGGAAACAACCGAAAATAAGTTCTTGGATCTCTTTACAATAAAATCATTATATTTTAATTACTCTATTTATTTTACGAATAAAGAAGGCATCAGATAGTATCATTTCAGTTTATTGGCTACTTGTATCCCATTGTTCTCTCATGTATTGCAAATAAAGTATTTTCTAATTAGGCATCAAAATTCAATAGTATATTTAACAGGAAAGAGGTGGCCAGATCAAACTAGTTTGTGCTACTACAACAATACCATATATTATTGGTATATTTAATACGAACAGCAAAATAAGAAACGACAAAATGACAGAAATAGAACAAACTACATGTAGTACTGTATTTTCTTACTTTTCAAAAGAAATTCAGGTATATGTCAGAATCCTCAGAACATTAGGTGCATGAAAAGCCGATTGGCATTATAAGAGATTTATCAGCAGAAGGCACATGTTTCTTTATGTTTTAGGTTGTCAAAAGAACTGGAACAAAAATTTTAGAAATATCGCTCTTTGGTACATTTCCGTTTTCATTCTTCATCATTTTGTTCAGGTTTCTATTTCATTTTTAAGCTGATTTCTCGGATAACCACAAATTGCATGCAATTCCAACAAATGACTGGACGATATTTTTTTTTGTTGTTTTTCTTTTTATTTATCACCAATACAAAAGAGAACAAAAGGAAAGAAAAATTCAACTAACAACTGGTAGAGATAAATAAACGTACAATTTCAGAAGTACTCAAAAGCTATGTTTGTGAATAATTGCTCACAAAAAGAAAAGAAAAGATTAATTTGGTACACGCTCGTACAGCTATTGCTCTGTAAAATAGGGTGGAGACAATGAAAAAAAAAATAACGGTGTTATAAGTTTCAAAATCGGAATGGGCACAGCTTGCCACTTATATCTGGGTAGCATTAGAAACATATTTTTTTGCCTAAAATAAAAAAAAAAAAAAGAGATGGTTTATGATCTGTTTTGCCCGTTTTGTCATCCTCTCCATTCTGAAATTTATGATTCGGATGTGATATTTTTACATGTGTAGTGTTTTCGACTATTTAATCTCTTGCTTTACATCTTTTACTTTCTGAAATTACGTCTTCTTCGTACATTTGTTTGCTCTTCTTGTTGTTCTTTTCGAAACGCTAACCCATTAAATTTTTTTTTGAACAAACGTTAATATAGAAACCATGTAAGTGAATAACTGCAAATCTCGCTCAAGAGATCTCTCCCTTTACCAGCTCAAGAATCAAGATTTCATTTCTATAGGGTGCCTCTAAAAGTCGAAGGGTATTATTACATTCATTTCTAGAAGCCGGTAGTGGTATTGTATTTATTTCTTCTTGGTACCTCTTTTATTTTGACTTCAACAAATACTTTATCTATCGCCAATCGCTACACATCAACTTCGATTAGAACTGAACCTTGTACGGTTCCTTGTATTTAATTGTATCTGCTGTTATCTATATTGTTTCTTATTAATGTGGATCTCTGTTGTTACCCTTTAGCTGTTTCTATGGTCGAATATACAATGTCTTAAATATTTTTTATTCTTTTCTGAAGTGGAAATGAGATATTATTCTACCGGGGAAGGAGGTAGCAAATATCAAATACTATTAGTGGAAGCTGTTCAATTGATTACATATTTTGAAACTTCAAGATTATTTCATTTCGACTAAAGTAATATTGTCAGAAACAGATTTGGGTGTCACATTTGTTTAACTTTACATAATTAGACTACATGTATCCTAGATCGAGGCCCATTGAAAAATCTTGGCTTTTTGAGTTCTCATTGTCAATAATGAACTTGAAAATATGTACATAATAAATTTGATTTGAGGTTGACCTAATATATTATTTAAATCTTGTTAAGGCCAAGACCTTTTAAAAATAAAACATCATTGATTTCAAAAAAATATCAAAAGTACTATAATTTTATATTCATTTCAGATAATATAAATTTTGATAGCACTGATATTCTAACTAGTTATCAAGAATTAAGCACTAGAATAATTATCTCTGTTCTAGCACATATAAAGTGATGCAAGTTTCATACATGGCTATAACCATGACAGTATAATTATGGTTTAGACCATGAATAGCAATCAGAGGTTCCTCATTGGTGATTAAATGAATTTGACACTATAAAATATCCTTTCATTAGTATCTAAGCTATTGACATTAGTCCGGACTTCCTTGTTCCTCATATTAACTATGGGCTAAAACTAGTGTCAGAAGCAATATTAGGAATAATTGATAACAGAAATGCGTTTAATCTCCTATTACAACACTGCATAAGATAATTAAATGTTTAAACAAGATTCCGTCCGTATTCCTGAAATAAAAAGGGAATAAATTCTTCATTGATCATTTCAATCATTAGTTCAACTAAAGAGCGTTTTGGCCACATAGCCGAAGTATAATAATATTTTATAGATTTATTTTCATCCATCTGACTCAATTGGAAAGTTCATTCTCATTTAATTTCTATCCTACATTTAACAGAGCTAGTCTAAATATCTTAATCTGTGCAGCCTTTTCATTATTAGTACGATCTGTATTTCTTCCGTTGTTTTCTTGCCAGATCTTTAAGATCTGGCGTTAGTTCCATGCAACCAACAAGAAAAAATGAATGAAAAAAAAAGGTAACGGAATTGGCTGTATATTCTCTATTAAAGGGATAGTTGTGGTATTCATCTAGGTAACAAAAAACTTAAAACAAAGAGATGCAGGTATTTATAGTACTATGCTTTTTTCTGTTATTAATTAAGAATAACATCTGATTCACTTAAGTAAATAAAACGAATTTTTTGTTACAATCGGATACTGTATACTGAATAATCTGATCCCTCACTATTGATGCTATCAATTCTATCAGTAACTAAAGAACTAAAACATTAATTGTAAAAAACTGTATTTATCTGACAACAACTGAACTCTTAGGTGAATATTCCATCAAGCAACGGATTTTTAAATTCAACTTATCTAACTTGTCTTTGAGCTTAGTAAAGGAGTACTACGGGATTATTATATAAATTCATGTAAAAGATGAAATAAGCCAAAACCTCCTTAAGTATTGGAACCCAATTGATGCTTTGTTTCATTAATCTTTTAGAGTTGATTGCATTATCAAACGATTGTAAACCATTTAAGAAAAAGATTTGTCTCTGACAATTTCCCTTATTTGGATAAATTTAACCGCATATTATTGACTACATTTTCTATACAGCAAAATGCTTATCGCCTAAAAGTAATAATGAAGTATAGATATCGTTACAGAGATATATGTATTAAATATAAGCTAAGAGTAAAAGTCGAAGCGGTACTAATTTGATCATAATTTGTGTCTTCTCTCTTTATTCTTCATTTGTTGAAATCTCTTTTGAGGATGACCATCTACCCAAAATGGGAATGTTGTAGTACTTTCATTTGCCTGTGACAACTTCAACAAACGACCATACTCTCCCGTCATGATTGTATTTTTAATCCCAATGATACTATCTGGGTGCAACTGCTTCGCCTGTTTTTGAAGATCCGCAATAACTTTCTTATTAAACTCGTCAGTATCATCCATTTTATAATTCCTAACAATTACTTTTTTATCAAAAAGTTCATTATATGTTATAGGTGTACTAAACATCAAATGTTCATTTGCGCAACTATGGCCTAATTTTCTAGCCACTGTAATACTTGAACTCAACTCTGTGACAAATGCCAGGTTACTGAATGGGAATAATAGGTAAACTGAATCAGTCATAGAGTACACAATATCACAAAGCATAACTAAAGCAGCGCCAAGTCCAATTGCAGGACCATTTAAACAACAAATTAAAATTTTTCTATGCTTTAAAAATCTGTCTGCCACTAGTACATTTTGAGAAGATATTGTCCCAAATAATAAAGATAATTGTCTTAATGGATTTTTCTCCTTTTTAATTTCACCAAATTCTGCAATAGAATCAAATTTGAACCCGGCAGAGAAAAACTTGCCACTACTTTGAAAAACTGTATACAATATTGAGTCATCCTTGTCAGCTTTTTCCAATAGTTCAGAGATATAGATAAAGTCATCAAAACTCAGGGAATTCAAATATCTTGGATCAGTAAAACTGATAATGAAAAATGCCCCTTCAATACGATAACTAACACGAGGAGAACCCATAATTCCTTATGTATATCTAAGATTTCTATTATTATATGAATACCCTTTTAAATGATATGTAGATATTCGATTTTATATGCTCCTTGTTCAAAATACAGTTTAGCCTGAATTAAAATAAAGACCAATATGTCAAAAAGGATATAAGAAAGATCTATTCTATTCTCCTTACTTTTCCCCACAAACAAAAAAAAATGAAAAAAAAAATGTAAAACAGTAAGCCACCTTTAGATTAAAAACACTTATGCTCACCATTTATATATAATTTATGTCCTTAATCACAATCATCAACATCATTAGTTTCCCCTCTATAATTATCTTTATTTGATCCTTATGATGACGCTATAATTTATCCTTTTCTTATTTCCGGAGTTTGAACGTTTAAATGCATCACTATCATCTCAACGTAACATGATAACTATTTCAATGATCAATAACTATATCTACAAGATAAGTTGATTGAATTAAGAGTAATTATTGATACTGAGATGGAGATTGAGGGTGGAGGGTTTAGTTTTGTTGGAATATAGATTTTAATATCTCTTCATCCTTTTTCAATTGTTCTAATTCTTTTTGTTTTTTCAATTCTTGATGCTCTTCATATTTCTGTTTACTTTTTTTATATTTTGATTTCTTTGATTGACGATGCCATTCTTGTACTGCTTTCTCCCTTTCAGATATCACTTCACCGTTCACCTCTATGCCATTTCTAAATCTTTCGATGGCTAAAGCCATTTTTTCTCTTGCTATTTTTCTATTTTGGTCCCTTGATCTTGTCTCTTGACATTCGACCACTATACCTGTGGGTATATGTTTTAATTGTACTTTGGAGTTGCTTTTATTTATTTTTTGACCACCTGGTCCTCTTCCTCCATGCATAAAACTTTCAGTACATTCAGTTTCTAGTTGTTCATTAAATTTTGGTCTTGGTGGTAATTTATTTTTTTTGATGAGATTAATAGTTAGAGCACTGAAATTTCTTTGTAATCTCCACATCATCAAAATCAAAATAAAGATCAAGATCAGTATCAAAATTGATTTGAGCAGTGTGTCAAGGATGTTGAATTCAATTTAGTTCAATTTCATAAATATCTACTCTTCAAGACTGATATCATCAATATTACACAAGCTAAATAAATTTATATGCGGGTACTTGATTAAGATAGGGTAATAAAAGACTACTAAAATTTAGTTCTTTAGCTTTCTAAAATATGTGATAATAGCAAAGTGGAAGAAATAACTAAATACCAAATTGAAAATGAATATTTCAATTATAAATGAATGTAACCTACATTAGTGGTTCATAGTAATCTAATTGTGACTTAATAGTGTACATCTATGTATATTACAGCATGGTCGTGTTTTTTTTTATCTTATAACAAATAGTATTTTTGGTTAATCTATATTATATCCTCAGTAATTAAAGTAAATTTTGAGTTCATAATGGAACAAATAATTTAAAGGGATGATGACAAGAGATGGATACGTTTCCCTTTACTATGTAAAGGTATTCCCACCAGAAGTTTACACCCATACCTATATCCACAGTATGTATTTCTTACTATTATAGATTACTCAAGTAATTAAAATGGGGTGTATTGTGAGGGTAACTTTAAAAATCGGTTTTATTGTCATGTCAATTGTAGGGAACGTTGATGACAACTGTCAAAGTTAAATATAAGCTGCTAATCAGACAAGATTTTATACTATATAATAATATATGTGAATACTTGAGACTGAGTTGGTTTTTAAGAATTGCCAAAGTCACGGGATTTATTACTTCAAAACTAACAACAATTTCAGTAAAATATAATAGATCATAGTTCTAAACCTGGTATTCTTGTTGGATTACCTCCAATTTTTCAAGGACTGACGAATTGATGAATTTAGTGAATATATTATTCTTTTGGTAGTGACCAAAAATGTGACACAAAGAGATGTTTTTTGTGTCATTTGTAATATTTAAAAAGAAACTTCTTTAAAAAGATAATCTTGTATCTGGAGGCAGATAAGCAGATTCTCAATATTGCTTTATTTTTTAGCTCTATATATATAATATATTTGGGGAAGTTTGGATTATGTTTTTTTTAAACTTTAGTTCGTTATAATTTTAATTCAAAAGATATTACTTCTTAAGTTGCCAAACAAAACAAAAATTTTACGTTTCATGTTTGAAAATAATTACCATATTTAAAATTCCTATGTTGATCAAATAATTGTAAAGGATATAGAATTTTAAAAAAAATATACTGTGCTCCTATATATTTAGACTTCGAATATCCAATCCCTTGCCAATTAGTCATTAATTGTCCAGTTGTTGGCGTCTATTTTGGGAAACTCAAGCAACTTCATTACCCGGTCATTAAATAATTTTCTTTCGAAGTGGAAAAAAAATTGGACGTATCAGATAAATCATGATAGACGGAACAAGTGTGAAATTATAGTGGGCAAAGAAAAAATTGTTTAGTGTTTTCGTCTTTTTTTTTTTGCCAATGGACATTTTTCAATGCAAAATAATACTATTAGCATCAACACAAGGAAAACTAGCTGTTTATAATTCAAACGATGAGGTTCTGTTATGATTAAGATAATACATATATATATGTATTTGTACAGGTATATATATTTTGATATTTGTATACTGAAGTGCAATTTTTCAAATTTTTTGGGTGTTCTGTGTTAAGAATTCAATGGAGAATAGTTATATTTGTCTTTGATCTAGGTACGGAGTTTAAATTTAATTAAATACGTCGAACTTTAAAACTATATTTAAGAAAGAATCATTAGCGTATAGACTAATATCAATCAATATTCAAATAAATTAAATTCATTCTTTTAGTTGACGTGGAATTGATCATTAGGAAAATTGCTTTTCATAAAAAAAGACATATTGATATTGGTATAAATTCCAAACAATAGTTTAAAGCAAAGAATATACATATTTATTAAAAAAACTAAACATGATAGATGAACAAAAAATTTTAAGATGCATCGAATTGACTATGGTCTCTGATGCAAAATTAATTAAAGATGCAGAATTACAATTGTTTGAGTTTCAAAAAGAAGCAGGTTTCACAACTTTTCTTTTGAAAGTAGTCGCTAATGAAGAGTTCCCAATTCATGTAAGGGTCTCTTCTGCCATTTACTTGAAAAATAAAATACAAAGATCATGGGATGCTAAGAATCGTCTAGATGGTATCATTCCTGATGAGCAACTGACAATAAAGGAAAATTTAATTCAAACTTTGATCAAAAATGTTTCAAGCAGTCATTTAAGACCACATTTAACAGAATCTGTAAGAGCTATCTTGAATTGTAATGACAATTGGGATTTGATTAGTGTTATAAACGAACTATTATCCAGTGGAAACCAAGATTATATATATCCAGGTCTATTGCTATTATTTGAAGTTTGTATTGTCCATAGGTGGGATATGGCAGGAAATAGACAGTATATTGATAAAGTTATTAATTCCATTTTCCCTACCGTAGAAAATATTGCTTCTCAACTCGTCAATGCAGAAGATTACAAATCAAATGAATTATTATATTTAATTTTGAAATGTTTCAAATATGCTTGTTTGAATAATTTCCCAGAATATTTTACAAATGTTGATAAATTAAATTCTTGGATTCAATTACATTTATTCGTTTGTGCAAAACCTTTACCAAAACAAGTTTTGGATTTAGATATTTCAGATAGATCATTGGATAAAAGGGTTAAAGTTACAAAATGGGGTTTTGGTAATTTAAACCGTTTTGTTCAAAAATACTGCAGAACCACAAAAGTTGTTACTCAAGATTTTGTTAATTATGTTTTCATGAATATCGTTCCAACAATTTTAAAGGAATATTTTAAGATTATTCAACTATGGGGTACCTCATCCTTATGGTTGAGTGAATCGGCCTTATATTATTTGATACAATTTTTAGAAAAGTGTGTCACAACGGATGAGTTATACCCTTTGATAAGCCCACATTTGGAAACTATTATTCAAAATGTTATTTTCCCATGTCTATGTGCTAGTAACAGAAGTGTTGAATTATTAGAAGATGATCAAGAAGAATATACTAGACGTTATTTCGATTTGAATCGGGAAGGTTCCACCGAAGATGTCGCATCTACTGATTTTATTTTTGTTGTGGGCCATAAACGTCCGGCTCAAATGCACAAAGTTTTACCATTTCTTAATGAAATCTTTAACAGCTTCTTACAAAACTCAAACGATTTAGACATTGCTTATAGACAAGAAGGTGCTATGAGAACTGTTTCAACATTTTTCTCATTCTTAGAGCCTTCATCAGAATTGGAAGGTATTTTTTCTCATTTCATCGTACCTTTGATGTCTCAAAACCAATACCAATTCTTGGTTGCCAGAGCCTTGGAAACTATTTCTTTATATAGCCATCCATTCCAAGACATGGCAACTCTTTCAAAATTATTTGAAATGACCTTTAATCGTTTCATGGATAGCGATTCAATCCCTGTCCAGGTAGAAGCTGCCGATGCATTAAAGACTTTGATTATCTCAAACCCAGATATACACCAACATATCTCTTCTCAAGTTCCAAGAATCATGGAAAAATTATTAAAGGTTTCTAAAGAATTTGAAATTGATACGTTATCAGAAGTTATGGAAGCATTTGTGGAAAGATTTGCTGATGAATTGACTCCATTTGCTGAAGATTTAGCTGCAAATTTGACGGAACAATTCTTACAAATTGCAAAGTCTATCGTTGACAACAGTTCAAGCTCATATTCCAGCGCCGACCAAGATCAAGAACTTCAAGCAAGCGCTTTACTACAAACAATGACTACAATGGTTATGGCCATGAATAAAGTTTATCTGGTGGATAAATTTTTGCCTGTTGTAAAATTTATTATTTTACATGCTCAAATATCATTTTTAACAGAAATTGTTGATCTAATGGATTCATTAGCTTTATCTTCTATTGGGATGTATCAACAATTCACTCCAGCTATCTGGGAGATGTTCGATGATGTGTTACATTCCTTCCAAACTTATGCAATGGATTATTTCGAATCATACCAAGTTTTCTTTGAAACAGTTGTTACTCATGGGTTCCCTAGAGACCAAAGTTATGTTCAACCATTTTTAGAAATCTTATCAGTTAAATTAGAAAGTGACATCGATTATGATGTTGAAGGTGTTTATGATATTTTGGTGTTATATGCATTGTCATTAAAGGACATTCCTCTATTTGATAAAGCTTTGCGGGCATCTAGTAATGATGAGTTAGATTTAGATGATTCAAAGATTATCAAATGTTTCCTAGCAAACTTATTTATCAAGCCTATCGAGACATTGCAAGTTGCTGAAAGAGAGGGCATGACTTTGAACTTATTACAAAAATGGTTCAATTGTAATTTAACCAGTGTTTTTGCGATTAAGTTACAAATATTAGCTATTATATCATTGTTCAAATTACCTGAACTTCCTAGTGCTGTCAGTGGCTTTGTTCCACAATTTTCTGATAAGTTAGTAACAATAACTGAGAAGCTTCCATTAGCCATAAGAAAACGTGATACCTTGGCCAAGGGAGAAGAAGGTATCGATGAATTATTCGAATCTCCAGAAGATGAGGAGTACTTCGAAGGTTATGAAGATGATTTAAAGGAAACAGTATTAGATCAAATCAATTGTTTCCAAGAAGTTGGCAATTTCTTCAATCAAATAAAACAAGAAAATTTGGCAATGTATGAAAAGATTCTGGGATCCTTAAATGACGAAAGAGAAAATTCATTACAAGTGATCCTTGAATTTGTTGCCCAAAACTAATGAAACAAAAATAATTAAAATAAATAGATACTTTGTATAAATTAATCAAAAATACTACATCATTTCTCATTAACATTGACGTGTTATCGTCGTTGGTTCAGAAGAATCAGGATGAAAGCATATTAACTCATATTGAATCATAAATATCGATAGACATATAAAAGTGACAATCAATAGTTTAATGGTCAAAAATATGATTTCTACTGTTAGAGACCACCTTGATATTAGTTGGCTGGCGCTAACTAATTCTAAAGCTTATATCATTTATTTTCTTAACTGTCATTATGAACGAACTACATTGAAAAATTTTTAAGATGCGATGAGCTTTAGTTCAAACTTGATAGTATATAAGAAAAGTATTGCAAATTAGCATATTGAATAATTGATGGACATTCCATTCCAGAAGATCAATCGCGACCTTTAATTGCATATTGTGGTTTATATAGTATGTCAGTTCAAGAATCGCCAGTAATTCTATCTAAATATGATCCTCAGGGTCAACATTTGGCATATGTCACCATTGCATTAGACAAACAACGTATTGCAGTTGAATCTACTGTAGATAATGGAGGAATCAATAGTGAGAACGATATATTTTTTTATTTGGATGATTCCAATTTAAGAGTTACATGTATGGAATGGAATTATATTTCTTCAACTGAAACTTTGTGTGTCTTCATTGGTTTGAATAACGGTGAAATTTGGGTTTATTCGCCGCTATCAAACGAAGTTATTTACAAGTTAAGTACCGGAAATCCATATGAAATTAAAGATTTGGATATCTATAACTCAGAACTTTGGTCTATCGATAATAACGATACTATTTATCAATTTTCGTTAGATGAATTTAAACTTAAACAACATTTCAAAATCGAATCTTGTGTTCAGTTAAATAAAGTCCATGTTGTTCCAAATAAAAATAATCAATTATTAGTTGCATCGCATTCTATATCTCTTATAGATACACAAAAAAAAGAAGTTGTTATTACTTATCCAGGTCATATTACTCCAGTAAGCATTTTAAAATCCATTTCCGATGATTTTTTCATCTCTGGTGCCATTAACGATCGTTTCTTAAATGTATACGACATTAACTCCGGATTGACTAAGACAGTTTTAGTCTCTCAATCCAACGTCAATACATTTTCTAACTCTAGCCAAGATGTCATTGCTGTTACTACAGAAGATGGGAAAATTGAAATTTTTGAAGATCCGCTAGTTACGAATACCAATAAAAAGAGAGGAAACAAGTCTAAAAGATCTTCTAAAACCATCGATGCAATTTCTGAACAATCGAATAAAATAGCAGTAATAAATATCAACATTAAAAACGACATTCTAAATCTAACCTGGTTAAGAAATGCCACCATACCAAGTTTTTCAACAATACAATGGAGAACTCTTCCATCGGAGTATACATATGAAATCAATTTAGGCATTGGAACTTCTTCAGGATCCAAATCTAATTCATTATACGGGGTAGATTTGGCATCAGCTAAAAATTATGCCGAGGGTAATGCCCAAGTTACTTCTGGTGATAACTTCAAGCATGTTGCCAATATAATTAGCCAATTGGAAAAAGAAGCAGAAGAAAAAGCAAAAGAAGATGGAGAAGCTGCTACTGAAACTTTAGCAGATAAAGTTTCAGCTCTTTCAGTATCACGCCTGAGCGGTAAAAAAGCTAGAGATTCTAAAGGCTCAGGTATGACAACTGGTACTTTTACTGTAGTATTGTCTCAAGCCTTACAAGCCAATGACCATTCATTATTAGAGACTGTATTGAATAATCGTGACGCCAAAGTAATCAAGGATACTATAATAAGGTTGAAACCAACTTTAGCTGTAATTTTATTAGAAAGACTGGCTGAAAGAATTGCAAGACAAACACATAGACAAGAAGCATTGAATGTGTGGGTTAAATGGTGTTTAATAGTACACGGAGGGTATCTAGTGACAGTTCCAAATCTAATGTCGACATTATCATCATTGCATTCTACATTAAAGAAACGTTCGGACTTACTTCCTAGATTACTGACACTAGAGTGTAAATTAGAAGCTGCATTGAGTACTATGGAGACCAAAAAAGCAGGTACTATAGAAGAAGCAAGATTAGATGATGTTGCAACTTTAGTAGATGAAGATGAGGAATTTGTAGAGTACAACGAAGAATTAGACGATGCTGGATTAATTGAGGATGGTGAAGAAGATTATGACAGTGAAAGTGATATCGATGAAGATGTTGAATACGATGAAAGGGGTCATTCAGGTTCCAAATCTAACCACATCGATCACGACCACAGTGACAGCGAAGAAGAAGAAGAAGAGGAAGAAGGTTACAGTGACATAGAAATGTAGGCACCCATAAGTCTGTGTACATACTAAATAATAAATACATAAATTAAATCGATAGACACATTGTAATATCATAAAGAGACTAGTTAGATCATACTCCAAAGATAGTTAAAGTATCGTGTCCTTCTTACCGCCGCCCATCCATCCATCATTCATCACCAAAATTTAACTGATTCGAACTAGTGATATACAATCTGATGTATTTCATGTAAACTTCCTAATACGAATATGTAGAACTTCCAAAGAAAATCCTATTTAGGAAAACAAATACTGTATTAGGAAATAAAAAGTAATAAGAATTCAAAAAAGCTGCTTCTTTTCTTTTATCGTTTCTTTTTCACCCAAAACAAAAAGAAAAAAGCAAAAGTTTCACGTTGTTTCTTTTTTTTTAATTTTATTTTTTGCATTTCCTGCTTGCGATGAGATGAGATTGGTTTAACTAACAGCATAAAGTAAAAAATTATGAACTTGGACTGATATAATTAATTGTTTAGCTAATTAAAGGTTAATTAAGGCATTAATTAACCAATGATTTATAAGAAGTTGGAACTAGAGCTGCTATATTTGTGAGTAAAAGTTGACCTCTTTCTCATTTGCTTTTAACTCTAGATTCTACTTGTAAAGCTCTGTTCTGTGATTTAAATTTACAATTTGATTTATTTGAATTATAATGAAAAAGAATGGAAAAATCGATGGAGAAAATTTTTTTTTTTCGTTCCTTGTTTGCTTTAGTTTCTTGTTACAATAGTTGTATGTAGTAGTATTATAATAGTTACTTTGTCGAAGCAGAGCTTGATTCAGTTCAATTCACGTAAAATTAATTGAAAAAAATGTCTTCATTTCCAGTTGTTACCTTTGTTTGAGTTCATCGATATCTTCAATATTTTTTTTTAAATAAATCCTATTTAAGTAGTTAACTTGAACTTTTATAGTAGTCTTTGGATTTTAACACTAGTTGAATTTAATCTTTGTACAATATTTTAATTCGTTCTTGAAAATTCATTGTTAAAAGAAACCTATTCATTTTATTTACAATATGTCTGAAGAAAAGCAATATATTTCTTACAATAACGTTCATCAACTATGTCAATTCTCTGCTCCTAAGATCAAAGAATTTAAGCCTGATATTATTATTGCTATTGGTGGTGGTGGTTTCATCCCAGCAAGAATTCTAAGAACTTTCTTAAAGGAAAAAAACACACCAACTATTAGAATTTTTGCAATTATTTTATCATTGTACGAAAGAATTGAAGGTTCTGATGTTGAAAAACCAGGTGTTGAAGTTCAAAGAACTCAATGGATTGATTACGAACAATGTAAATTAGATTTGGTTGGTAAAAATGTTTTGATCATTGATGAAGTTGATGACACTAGAACTACTCTACATTATGCTTTAAGTGAATTGGAAAAAGATGCTGCTGAACAAGCAAAGGCAAAAGGTGTTGATCCAGAAACACAACCTGAATACAAGACCAATTTCGGTATCTTTGTTCTACATAATAAATTAAAACCAAAGAAGGCTGATCTTCCTGAAGATATGGTTAAAGATGAAAAGAGATATTTCGCTGCTAGACATGTCCCAGACTGTTGGTTAGCTTACCCATGGGAAGCTACTGATATCGTATTCCATACAAAGATGGCTATGGAACAAGGTAATGACGTTTTTTTGCCTTGAATAAATAAAAGTCACATTCATCAATATTAAAAATTAATATAAAATTAAAGATTAAATAACAACAACAACAACATTTAAAGGACATCTTTTCGTTCCATTATCTCTACATGTCATATTATTTTTTTTAAAAATAATCTGTGTAAATTAGTTAAATATAAACTTAATATATATATTTTAGTCCCATAATAATAGCTACCCTAGCCTTTGCATGATTTATTATAAAATACATAGAATTGGTAATATTTGTTTCAAATATAAATAACTGTTTTAAAAATTTATTCAATATTATTTTATTAAGGCCGAAAATTATTAAATCTAAAAAAAAAAAAACCTTTCTCTATAAAATTCCTTAAAAAACGAAAGTGAATTAACAAAATGCTCTTCAATTAAAACCCAAATCTTCTTAAGCCCAACGAGAAAAAATTGAAAAACCTCTATTTAGGGATCCTTTAAAAAACCTCGAATTAAAGGGAACACCTTTTAAAGGTTGGCAATGTAAAAATTTAGCCTGATAAAGTGGGAAACCCACCTCTCCTGGGAAATCCTTTGGTCCCACGGTATCCCTTTAAAAAAAATAC